TCTGTATGAAAATATAATCTCATTCATTTCACAACAGCGCAAAAAAATTCAAGAAAATTGGAACGTGGTAACGTCGCATCGTAATGTCAAAAATAAACTGTGGTTGTAAAACTTAAGAGGAGGTCAATCAAAATATCTAAAAAGATATATCTACCTACAGTTAAATTCCAATTCGACTAAAAATGGAATTATAACATACATAACCCATCTCCACATCTTCCCATTTCTCTCCACTTTCCATTTCCCGTAAAACCCAATCAAAAAATCACATCAGCCCCCTCCCCCTCCTCCGCCCAATCGACCCGCATCAGCTGTTCCCCGCCCCATTCCTCTTCGCGCCGTCCGAAGCACAAAATAAAAGACTCAATAAAACCGTATCAAGCTGCCGTGTCGTGCACATTGCGTCCTCATCGCAGTCGGCGCTGTGTCGTCCTGATTGGTCACGGTCGGGGGCCATGTTACTATCTCCTCCGATTCGCCATTGGCGGCTTTTTCCGGGATGAGACCAACGAGCGCTGCCGTCACCCCACCGTGTTTGCCAATCTTTTAAAGTAGCGTTAAGCTTCTGTTATCAGCCAGCTGCAAACTTATACGGTTGTGTTTACCAGTCGTTTCAGATAGTAGACAGTATTTGGACAATCTATTTGGTCGTTATGGGGATGATGATTATGGGCGGGCCGGGGCGGCGGGTGCGGGGATTCGGGGCGCAGATTAGCGATTTTTGGGCGATTTGTGATTGTTAGGAAAATATAATAATTATTGTTATTATTAGAATTTTAATAACTTATTGAAGTCAATTTGGTTTTGGCAAATGTGTTGAAAATCAAAATACAGGGTGTTGTCACGTTTTATCTATTGAAGAGGTTTTTATTGCACTTTAAATTCATAAATCTGTGAAAATGCAGGGTCTCATGACATTTCTACACAATTTTGGATTCCATGGTGAATTTGTCTATTAAATCTAAACTTATTTATTACCTAAATTTTGGGAAAACAGTTATTCCTATATTGTCCAATAATAATTTTCCAATCCGGTGACAGCTTTCGGCAAAGTTAACCATGAAAAAGAAAAAGGACGAAAGAAAGAAAGATAGATAGACCAACACGACGAAGAGAATCGACATAAAGAAAAATAGACGACGACAGGAGCGACAAAAAAACGAATGCGACACAAAGAAAGACAGGCGATAAAAGAAGAAAGAAAAAATATACTTAGACAGAGGTTACATAAAGAAAGACAGATAGACACACCACAACGGAGAAAACACATGAAAAACAAATATAAGCAACAAAAACAGAGGCGACAGAAACAAAGAATGAAAGACAGATAGGGCGACAAACAGAAAAATATATAGGAGTGACAAAAATATGGAGGCACGTAAATAAAGAAAGATAGACGTACGACAAAAAGAAGAGCAGACAGAAGAAACGACACAAAAAAAATACTTAGGCAGAGGCGTCGCAAAACAAGACACAGAGAGGCGACAGAAAGAAAGAATGAAAGAAAGATAGACACGACACGACGGAGAGAATCCACATAAAGAAAAACAGACGGGGCAAAAGAGAGAAAAACAGACGACGTTAGGAAAATAGGCAGACAGGGAGGATAAATAGAAAAACAGACGAAAAGACAGAGGCGATACAAAGACATATGGACAGGCGACATAAAAAGGACAGACAGGAACGACACAAAAAAAAATAGGTAGACGAAAGAAAGAAAGAAGGAAAGAGGCGACATAAAGAAAGACAGATAGACACACCACGACGGAGAAAACACATGAAAAACATATATAAGCAACAAAAAGAATGACAGACAGAGACGACACAAAGAAACAGAAGGGACAGAAAAGAACACAGAGACGACGGAAAGAAAGACAGTCAGAGGCGACAAAAGGAAAGATAGATAATGGCCACACAAAGCAACACAGACAGAGGCGACAGAAACAAAGAAAGAAAGACAGATAGGGCGACAAACAGAAAAATATACAGGAGTGACAAAAATACGGAGGCACGTAAAGAAAGAAAGATAGACATACGACAAAAAGAAGAACAGACGGAAGAAACGACACAAAAAAAGATACTTAGGCAGAGGCGTCGCAAAACAAGACACAGAAAGGCGACAGAAAGAAAGAATGAAAGAAAGATAGACACGACACGACGGAGAGAATACCCATAAAGAGAAACAGACGGGGAAAAGAGAGAAAAACAGACGACGTTAGGAAAATAGGCAGACAGGGAGGATAAATAGAAAAACAGACGAAAAGACAGAGGCGATACAAAGACATATGGACAGGCGACATAAAAAGGACAGACAGGAACGACACAAAAAAAATAGGTAAATGAAAGAAAGAAAGAAGGAAAGAGGCGACATAAAGAAAGACAGATAGATACACCACGACGGAGAAAACACATCATGAAAAACAGATATAAGCAACAAAAAGAATGACAGACAGAGACGAAACAAGGAAACAGAAGGGACAGAAAAGAGCACAGAGACGACGGAAAGAGAGACAGTCAGAGGCGACAAAAGGAAAGTTAGATAATGGCGGCACAAAGCAACACAGACAGAGGCGACAGAAACAAAGAAAGAAAGACAGATAGGGCGACAAACAGAAAAATATACAGGAGTGACAAAAATATGGAGGCACGTAAAGAAAGAAAGATAGACATACGACAAAAAGAAGAGCAGACGGAAGAAACGACACAAAAAAAGATACTTAGACAGAGGCGTCGTAAAACAAGACACAGAGAGGCGACAGAAAGAAAGAATGAAAGAAAGATAGACACGACACGACGGAGAGAATCCACATAAAGAAAAACAGACGGGACAAAAGGGAGAAAAACAGACGACGTTAGGAAAATAGACAGACAGGGACGATAAATAGAAAAACATACGAAAAAACAGAGGCGATAGAAAGACATATGGACAGGCGACATAAAAAGACAGACGGGAACGACACAAAAAAAATAGGTAAATGAAAGAAAGAAAGAAAGAAAGAAAGAAAGAAAGAAAGAAAGAAAGAAAGAAAGAAAGAGGCGACATAAAGAAAGGCAGATAGACACACCACGACGGAGAAAACACATGAAAAACAGATATAAGCAACAAAAAGAATGACAGACAGAGACGACACAAAGAAACAGAAGGGACAGAAAAGAACACAGAGACGACGGAAAGAAAGAGAGTCAGAGGCTCAGAGGCGACAAAAGGAAAGTTAGATAATGGCGACACAAAGCAACACAGACAGAGGCGACAGAAACGAAGAAAGAAAGACAGATAGGGCGACAAACAGAAAAATATACAGGAGTGACAAAAATATAGAGGCACGTAAAGAAAGATATACATGCGACAAAAGAAGAATAGACAGAAGAGACGACAGAAAAAAAGACACTTAGGCAGAGGCGTCACAAAGCAAGACAGAGAGAGGCGACAGAAACAAAGAAACACAGACAGAGACACTACGACTGAGAGAACATACATAAAAAACAGATATAAGCAACAGACAGAGAGAAAGAGAGAAAAAAAGAAAGGAAGAAAGAAAGAAAGAAAGAAAGAAAGAAAGAAAGAAAGAAAGAAAGAAAGAAAGAAAGAAAGAAAGAAAGAAAGAAAGAAAGAAAGAAAGGAAGAAAGAAAGAAAGACAGAAAGAAAGAAAGAAAGAAAGAGAGAGAGAAAGAGAGAAAGAAAGAAAGAAAGAAAGAAAGAAAGAAAGAAAGAAAGAAAGAAAGAAAGAAAGAAAGATAAACACGACATGACGGAGAGATTCCACATAAAGAAAGACAGACAAGGCAAAAGAGAGAACAACAGGGACAAATAAAAAAATAGAATGACAGACAAAGGTGGCACAAAGAAACAGAGGCGATAGGAAAGAAGACAGAGGCGACGGAAAGAAAGACAATCAGAGAGATGACATAAAGAAAAACAGACAGAGCGACAGAGAGAAAAACAGACAGGAACATAGACAGACATGATGCAGGGACGACAAAAAGAAAGACAAATAGTGAAAACTAAAACAAAGACAAATAGGGAGACAATAAACAAGACACAATTAAGGCAGAAGAAAAAAGAAACAGCCGAAGAAAAAAAAACACACTGAAAACTTTTATTTCTTGTCTGTAACTTTACTGATCATTTAGATATAAAAAAAAATTGGAAGCAATATAAGTGATCTTTCTCATCGAAGTTATAGTCCTTAAATCAAGGCATACCTAATCAATAGCTTTAGGTGCCATTATAGGGTTAGAATGTTAACAAAATTGATAAACAATTAACTATGAAACTTGTAATGAAATACCCAAATTCACCAACACAAAAAAAATATTTAGAACTATTTTAAAAAGGCTGGATTTGGAAAGCATAATTTTTATGATGATACTTATTCAGAGACAAAAGTTAATTTGACCAAATTTGTTTCGAAAAATTAGATCTTGAAGTAAAATTTCAGAATTTTGTTGAGATTTCTAATGTAGGTAGTGGAATTCTTTTAATTTTGGCAAGATGTTGTAAAAAATGACACAATAGAATCTAAAATCTAAATTAGGTATGTATGTTTAGTTTAGTGATTCCTTTTTCCTTCTCCGATATTAAATCAAATATGTTATTATTATTTTGTTTTGTTGTACTGAATTTCCCGTTAATGCATGCTTAATGTAATAATAACAAAATAAATAAAATAGTGAAATTATGTATCTACAAGGTGAATTGGAAGTGCGTGTGCTTCGTAGACCCGGTAAGTTCCCCCAAACAACTTTTTAATCCCGAATCCACACAAACTAATCACTTTAAAACATCCCTCACTTCCGCCGAATTTTCCCATCTCCGCGAACCATCCGACCCCTTCCCACATTCCACCTCGCACACGTCTTCCCTCGTCCTGCCTCGCCCCCCGCCGTCCCCGGCCCCGCCTCCCGGCGCCCGTCACCGTCATCCTCGTCCAGCTTCCAGTGCATGGCAAACGGCCGCGCGCGCGGACTACATCGCCTTCAGCAGCAGCCGCCACCGCCACCGCCGAGCGACCGCGTGCTGCCTCCTAATTGCCGCCACTTACTCGCACCGGCAAGCCCACGAAGTCACGTTCCGGAAGGTAAGTAGCTGCCCTTTAGCAAATATGTGATTTGGCACGATCACGTTTTCTCGGTTCCGGCTGCCGGCTGGAAGCGGCGGGTCCCAGTCGCTCGGGCGGCGGGACCGCGGCCGCAGCGACGCCGCCGACGGGCCAGTGCGGGGTCGGGGGCGGCGACGGCGGACAGTGCGGCGGGACGGAGTGCGGACCAAGGCGAATTACGCAAATTTTAATTGGGGTGGAGTGAGGCGGAGGGAAATCCGAAGCGGAAATTGGGGTTTCATTTCGGGCGGAAAATATTCATGCGTGATTGTTTTGTAAATTTTTTTGTTTTTTAGTACTTTTTATAAAACAAAAAAATCTTGGTGATTTTTTACACATTATTTGTTGACGTCATAACAAGAAATTATCAAATAAACGTTCATTAAAAAAAAAGTAGTCGTGCTTGCCGTCGGTTCATAATAAAGTGACTCGTTTGAGCTATTGTTTCCGACGGAATTTGCTTCACACAAAAATGTATTTGGTTCGGCGGTTCTGTCTAATAGTAATAGTGCTTATGTTATTGCTATATAGTCCAGTTTTGGCGAAGAATCGGTGAGTAATTAACAATTATCGTGCAACTTTATCTATATTTTTTTATTTTGATGGTGCCTGGCAAATTTACATTCAGTTTTATGGTTCGAGACATGGTATGTAATAATTAGTGTCAGTTGACAGCCGATAAAATCACAACACAACCGCATCATCACGTATCACATCACATAAAAAAAGTAAAATCTAATAAAATGAATCCCATTCTCCACGAATGTGAACACTAACTAGTTGAAATGACGGATTCGCTAAAATTAATATTTAAAAAATTTTACAGCGATTGTGTCTGGATCGTAAGTGGAAAAGCAAACCGTGGGCGTCCGACTTTATTTTCACAAATATATAATATTTAAATCAATAAAATAATATAAATCTAGACAGAAACCAAAAAAATCTTCTTAAAAAAATATATGGTCAAACAATTTTTCGCAGAGACTCTCCTTAACATTTCTATAAGAATAAAGCTGAAATAAAACAGGTTAAAATGCGAGCGCAGCGAGCACGTTCAGGTATAATTTAAAAAAATATTCATTGGTGTCCCGGAGAAGCTAAATTATTAAAAATGAAAATTGAAAATGCTTGTGAATACTGAAGTCGGAGAGATCACAGCAACCTTAGTTCCATGATTAATTTTCATGAATCACCCTGTATAAGTAATTATAAAATCTTGAATGCATTGATAATATATAATATTTTACTTCTTTAGGTAGGATTTATTCGGCAAAATTTTGGTACTTTGGTTTAATTTGGGATTTTAACTAAAATTCTACAGAGTTTGAATAATCAAGAAAATAATGTAACCGTTTCTAAGAAATTGTTTGAAAGCCAGTTCGACAGAACTTCACTCGCTTTTGAAATATGTTCAACAAATGTCGCTTCTTCGAAAATTTATGAAATTTGATTTTTTCGTGATAACGCAATAAACATAATTTGGGACTTTTCGGGATTTAATAACCCATCATATTAAAATCTGGGTTAAAAAAATAACTGTAGCTATTCTCTTCTAATAAACCGAACAGTTAAATAAATGTTTACTCGATTACCAAACAGCGTCTAATAAACCATTCCTTCAACAAAACAAAAAAAAAATCACCCGACTCTATTATTACCCTTTTTAAAACTTTACGCACGTATAATATCCATGTTGATAATTTCCTCTCCAAGCCACTCTGAAACAATTCCTTTCAGTCCTAAATTTAGCCTCTCGGATCCGTTCAGACATTCAATCCCGCCATCATAAATCGCGACCATTCAATAAACTGGGCCACAACAACGGCAACCAGTTCTTAAACGGTTTCTGCTCGGCGAATGGTAATAGCTACATGGCACAATACCCACTTTATGGTAGTTTCCGTTTCCACACCATTAGCTTTCCTGTTATTATACCTTCGTACGAACAATACACCTTAGTGACGAATCCGAAGCAAATGCAAGTTCAACGAACACGACGATGCGAAGTTTTTCCAAAATAACTAGACGCCAAGGCGAAAATAACAATGTCGAAAGTTTAAATATCGCGAGGGAGGCGGATTTGATGCGCCCCCGATGCGCATTCTTGCACGATTTTCTTGCGTCAGCGGCTGTTAGCACCCCTGGGTGGTGGGGCGGGGGGTAGGTAGATCGAGACTGTTTTTATTAGGTGCTACACCCAGCGTCCCGGTGAAGGAGGTGTTTGGTGGGAACTTGAGGAGGATGAAATCGTATTATGAATACTTTATTTCGATAACCTGTCTTATTTTAGAACACTCTTTCAGTTGAGGTAGTAGAAACGAAGCACAAAAATTACCATTAAAGTATGATCGACTTCAATTTCTCTTATAAAAAATTGGTCTAAAGAGTTTAGACAGTACTTCCCTCGCTGTCGGAAACTTGACGACTGCATGCCTATTGTGTTTTTTTTTCTCATTACATTTTTGTAGTGGGAATTTAAAAAAAAATTGTGATGACGTCATCAACATTTTTGCAAGGACACGTATATCAGTTGGGATAGATGTAGTGTAATACTAAGAATAAAATTATTGTATTCCCAAATTTTCGGGAAAATGAATTGGGTCGTTTTGAATATTGATTTCTTATAATCAATAAAATAACGAAACAATTTACTCAGGTATACGGCGCCGGTGTGTAATATCTAGAGAGCGGATTTCTGTCGGGCTAGGCAAGGCCAAACTCGGTACGGCTCGTACGGGATGCGAATTTATTGCGATTGCGGACTGCACTTCGTTTATTTGAGATTAGAATAAAGCAGCATACGTGAGAGTCAAACAGAGAAACTGTAAACAAAACGACCATCGGTTTTATTGCTTCGACTTCCGCTTATTATATAAAACATTGGGTTTTATTTTAATTCTTGACGGTGAAATTCACAATTGGTTGATTATAAACATGTCTATTCCACATTCGCGGAACCAAGTGAGCGCATGAAACAAATGCAGGTCTGTAATGTTAAAGTCGATGTAAATAAGCGTGCTACCCTTATGTTTCAACCGAGTTTTTCCTTTAACAAATTTTGTGTCTACCAAATTGGGTTGGTTGGGGTGTAATACTAATAATAAGTGTTGCCTTTAATTTAATCAATAAAATAAATTGACTTCATTAATTTTTTTGAACCACCTCTTAAGAAAATCTAAAAAATATGAATGGAATGATATATCACAAGTACAAACTCATCATATTTTTTGCATTTTAGATAGGATTTATTCAGCAAAATTTAAGGGTGACTTCGTCAATTTTTTTAGGAGGGATGCACAAATACATTTTGAACAAAAGTTTACCATGCTTATAATAACTTTAAAATATTCCCAAGATTTCAAAGCATTCGGTTTTGTAATTCCTGATTAAATCGATAAAATAAATTCACGCCTTCATTAATTTTTTTGAGTCACCCTGCATATGCAAATCCAAAAATATGAATGGAATGATAAATCACAAGTACAGACTCATCATATTTTGTACATTTTAGATACGATTTATTCGGCAAACTTTTGAGCTGACGTTATCAGTTTTTTGTAGAAGATAACCAAATATATTTTGACTAAAAATTTATTATGCTCTTTATAACCTTAAAACATCTGCAAGATTTCAAAGCATTCGGTTTTGTAGTTCCTGATTAAATCAATAAAATAAATTTACGCATTCATTAATTTTTTTGAGTCACCCTGTATATGCAAATCGAAAAAAATTGAATGGAATGATAAATCACAAGAAGAGACTCACCATATTTTGTACATTTTAGATAGGATTTATTCAGCAAAATTTTGTGGTGACGTCATACATTTTTTAGGGGGGACGACCAAATACATTTTGATCAAAAATTTACCATGCTTATGATAATTTTAAAATATCTTCAAGATTTCGAAGCATTCGGTTTTGTAGTTCCTGAGTAAATCAGTAAAATAAATTTACGCTTTCATTTATTTTCTTGAATCACCCTGTATATGCAAATCCAAAAAATATGAATGGAGTGATAGATCACAAGTACAGACTGATCATATTTTGTACATTTTAGATATGATTTATTCGGCAAATTTTCGAGCTGACGTCATCAAGTTTTTGGAGGGGATAAGCAAATATATTTTGACTAAACATTTATTATGCTCTTTATAACCTTAAAACATCTGCAAGATGTCAGAGCATTCCGTTTTGTAGTTCCTGATTAAATCAATAAAATATATTTACGCATTCATTAATTTTTTTGAGTCACTCTGTATATGCAAATCCAAAAAATATGAATGGAATGACAATGTACAGACTCATCATATTTTGTACATTTTAGATATGATTTATTCGGCAAACTTTCGAGCTGACGTCATCAATTTTTTGGAGGGGATTAGCAAATATATTTTGACTAAACATTTATTATGCTCTTTATAACCTTAAAACATCTGCAAGATTTCAAAGCATTCGGTTTTGTAGTTTCTGAGTAAATCAGTAAAATAAATTTACGCATTCATTAATTTTTTTGAGTCACCCTGTATATGCAAATCCAAAAAATATGAATGGAGTGATAGATCACAAGTACAGACTCATCATATTTTGTACATTTTAGATATGATTTTTTCCACAAACTTTTGAGCTGACGTCATCAAGTTTTTGGAGGGGATAAGCAAATATTTTTTGACTAAAAATTTATTATGCTCTTTATAGCCTTAAAACATCTGCAACATTTCAAAGCATTCTGGTTAGCAGATTAAAAATTAAATTTCAAAATGTTGTTTTATAATTTTGATTTTTTTTCCAAAAATCTGGACGTTTCGGGTGAAAAGTCGATTCAGAGTTGTAAACTACATGTGTAGGACTATGTTATTTTATACAATTGAAAACCCATTTACTATGTACAATTTTGAAGTGACGTCATCGCTTTACTGGTGGGGATGATTAGACAAATTTTGGTTAGCGTTTTACCATCTACATGATATTCTTAATATAAG